GGCTCAAGCACAGTCAGGCCCAGTCTACGCTTCTCAAAAATGAAGGAAACGTGGGCCAGTCAATTCGAAGCCCATCAAACCTAGTTCTTGATCATTGATGCATCTCAACTTTTTCGTGCACGACTCTTTAGAAAAGTCATTTTGACTTTTGAAGAAGTCTTAAAAAAGTTACAATGATCGCTTTGCAAACGACCCTAAAACAGCATGAATCGTCTAAAGTGGAGCAGTAAGTCAATGGCATATATATGCTTCAAACAAAATTGTGAATATCGGGCACGAAAGCCGAGTGATCATGATATAGTGAATCGGCAGAAACCATTACAGCAGGTGAAAATACACTCGTTTGGCAATGTGCCAAATAGTGAAAATTTTTGTTCTTTTATTCCCAGAATCAGTTTGGAAACAGAAATCCGTTTGTTAAAATTTTTGTGCCCGGGCACAATTTTGCAAAAAATCGATCTCAGAATCAGTTTTGGAACATAATCAAGAAGTAAAAAAAAGTAGTTTCTTGATTCTGGAACAATTTTTCCGAAATTGATTCTTCTTGGTTTTCTTCTTTCTTTTTTATTTGTTCTTCATCTTCTTCCCGGCTCACCGCTGGCGACCGGCGACCATCCACCGACGACCGACCACTAGCGGCCGTCCACCAGCCACCAGCCACCGGCGACGGCGAGGTCGGCCTTGCCCAGATCTGGCGAGGTCGGCTAGGCCGACCTCGCCAGATCTGGGCAAGGTCGAGCCTCACCCGGCCAAGGCGAGGCCGACCTCGCCGTCGTGGGGGGTGCCGACGGCGAGGTCGGCCTCGCCCGGCCATGGCGAGGCCGACCTAACCGTCGTGACCGGCGAGGTGGCGATGAGGGCCGCGACGCCCTCGCCAGCCCTGGCCTGTTGTCGGTCGCCGGCGACCGGCCATGGCCAAGAAAAACAAAGAAAAAAAAGAAAGAAATATTAAAAAATTCAAAATATTATTAAATAAAAAGAAATTTTGTGTAGTTACCAAACGCATTTCTGTTCTTTTTTTATTCTAAGAATAGAAATTTTGGACAGTTATCAAACGCCTTCAAATGCTTAGAAATTGTTCACGAGCATAGAATAAAAAAGAATCATTTCTGATCAAAATCTGTTCTCGGGCACAGAATGATTGCCATGCACAGCGTAATGCATCTCAACTTTTTCGTGCATGACTCATTAGAAAAGTCATTTTGACTTTTGAAGAAGTCTAAAAAAAGTTACAATGATCGCTTTGCAAACGACCCTAAAACAGCATGAATCGTCTAAAGTATCAACGGCATATATATGCTTCAAACAAAATTGTGAATATCGGGCACGGAAGCCGAGTGATCATGATATAGTGAATTGGCAGAAACCATTACAACAGGTGAAATTACACCATAAATTCTAATTTAAATCATGTTTATGGTCGTGCCTTATATGTGAGCAATTTATATTGTTATGTCATATAAAACAAAAAACGATCACGTGCTTTTAAGAGATTCCAATTTTTTCTCTTCCCTAAATAAATGTGATCGTTTAGTTTATAAATGACGTATTTGAAGTTAACAATTATTTTTTTATCTCTTGCATATTTACGTATTAAAGTTTGCATCTTTTCTATCGTACAACTATATTTTTGAAAAAAATCAAAAATTTTGAAATATCTTTATCTATTCAAGTATACAATCTCTTTGAATTGTGTAATTACCACTAATTTCATTTTATTATTTAGCAATTCAAATGTTTCAAATAAATAATTTTGTATTTTTAAAATATTAATTTTTGGGCCTAATTCCCTTAAAAACACCCCAAAGTTTAGGTCCGGTGCCAAATCTCGCCCTGACTTTTTTTTGTCTAAAAAAACCCTAAACTTTCTGTCCAGTCCTAAATCTACCCCAAACTTTTTTTGTTTAAAAAAATTACCAACTTTAACGCTAGTCCCAAATATGCCTTTGTTAGCCTTCCGTCCAAAAATCATCACAGTCGTTTCTAATTTCCCTAATTTTCATATCAATGAACAATTTCATTTTAGAAATAGTATTCAACGTCACCGTGGATTTGTTATCCAACAACTAATGACGATTTTTGGACAGAGGGTCAACGAGGATAGATCGGAGAAGGGATTGAAAGTTCATGATTTTTTTTTAGACAAAAAAAAAGTTTCCTTAACCAAATTTTCATTATAAAGAACGGTTTCGTTTTGGATATAATTTTCAATGTCACCTTGCTGATTTGGATTTATTATTGACGTGAAAATGCCATGTCAAACAACCGATGACGATTTTTGGACAGAAAGTTAATGGGGATAGATTTGAGACTAAATTTAAAGTTAGCAATTTCTTTTGGTGCTGATTAGGTACTAGAGTTAAAGTTAATTATTTTTTTTCTCGCATTATATTCACCCCATTATTGGCTCCTGACCTCCTTTCATATTGATTTAATTACATTATCTCTTGTGAGTCCCACTCTTGATTTAAGATTATTTCTTACCTTTTTTCTTCGTTTTCATTTGTTTCAATTTACTAAAATACAAAACTAACCACACCCCTTTTAAATAAATTTTTGGTTGCTTCCTCTATTAATAAGAGATTAGGTTGGTTCAAGTTTCATTAGACGAGTTATATTGTAATTTCTGGGCTTTGCCCCTTTCAATACCAAAAAAAAAAAATTATCCTAGCCACTTCTTCCTCACTCGTTACATTTCGAACAACTTTTTTTCAAAACTACCCCCTTATCAATCCTATCTATTATGGTAACTCGATAGCAAAACCTTTCCTTGGCACAACCAACTTGCAATTCACAATATATGTTCTAACGAACACCCAATAGTATCACCATACCACACGTGCTCACCAAACACAAACAAATCATGACATTGCATAAACATGCATATCGACAGTTAATAATCCAGACATGCTCAAATATCACTCTTGAACACAAAGTATTCCCCAATGCAAATAACATTCGCAGTTGTCCAGATTATTAACGACCCATCGGGCCACACCGAACCCCCGCCGATCTTCCGGTCTCGCCGGGCATTGCCCCCCTACTTCGGGCGCGACAACATTGGGGATTGAACACCCCCGGCAAGTCGGATACCCAATGGCATTCCAATAAGGAGCATCGATCCAGCCTCCACCGCGATCGGCAACGTCTAGAACTCTCGCCTAGACGGCATCTGAACTCCCACCGGATATCGTCTAGAACTCCCACCTAGACGGAACTTGTCATGGCCATGCACGCAAACAATCATTCATTGCCAATTTTCATCTTTCTTAATTAACTAATGCAGAGTGTTTATGACGTGCATTTTTCCTACGAACGAACATGTCATGAATCGCACTCATAACCACATCAAATGTCATTATCTACTCACAAATCGCCACGATACACCAAGATTAGCCATGATTAATCACACGATCCATTATTAAGCCACAAGATCGATGTTCAAGCATAAGATCCACCATTGATCATCCATTTTCAGCCACATGATTGTCATCACCACCACACGATCAACATTAATCACTTAATCAGACATGATTAAACTAATTAACCACATGATCATCAATCACAACCACACGATCAACATTATTTACTTCGATTTTCAATACAAATTTACAATAATTTACTCAGAGAATTAATATTGTGGCTAATGTATGCATTAGAATACTATCTACAATGATGGACTTAGGAGGTTCGTCAACATTGACTAATGATTTCTCCTTTTCCTCCAAAAAAGGAGCATTTTCTTTTTCATTTGCATGATAATAATGGATGCTTATAATTTTCTATGTGCTTAACTTTTTTCATATTTAAAATTTTTTTGAAAGTATCTTTTAAAACATCATGCTATGATGGCATAAAAAGTAAATGGAAATTGGACTAATAGATTAACCGAATATATTGAAAGTTGAGTAGTTAAAATACATAGACTACAATGTAATGACACATATTAAAATTATAATCAAATGAAATCCATACAAAAGCTGATGGATGGTTCTTTTCACTCTAACTTATGCTTAGGTTTTCTTCGAATAATAGTTTCCTAGCATTTTTTTTGTTGATAATAGTTTCCCAGTACAAAAAAAAAGGAAAAGTATCAACTCATTAACACAATAATTCGTTAGCATGTTTTTTTCATAGATAGTATTTTTTGGGAAAAGGTGAACGCCAATTTTGTTCCGGATGGAGAAAGAAAAGGAAAAAAAACAAAAAAAAAAAGAAGAAGAAAAGAAGGTAAGAAATAATCTTAAATCAAGAGTGGGCCCCACATTAAACCTTAACGGATGTTGTTTGAGAAGAGCATGGGTAATTTCTTCCCCTAATAAAATCAAAACAAAAGAAAAAAGAACAAAAAAGAGGGGAAGAAATAATCTTAAATCAATAATGAGACCCACATGGGACAATATAGTTAAATCAATATGATATGGAGTGTTAGAGCCAATAAGAGGTGGAAATAGCGGCATCCTTTTTTTTTTTGACAAAAAAAGTTCGGGTATGTTTGGAATTAGACCTAAAGTTGATGATTTATTTTTGATAAAAAGAAATTTTGGGATTGTACTAAAAATTTGGGTTTTTTTAAAGGAAATTAAGCATATTTTTTTGTGGTCTAATTAAAAAAAAAAGGCACAAACTTTACCTTGAGTAACAATTCTAGCGCGAGTCCTTTTTGTTCCATAAAATATCACAAACTTTCACTTAAATCCCAATTCTGATCCGAATAATTTGAAATTTTCACATTACGGGGGTCAAATTTAGAACTCGAGTAAAAGTTTGTGCTTTTTATCGAAACAAAAAAAAGTTTGGGTCGGAATTATAATTCCAGGTAAAGTTAGTTTTTCTTTAAAAGAATAGCCCCTGTTTTTTTATACACATGCCATGAAATGTGTGCACGTTTGCTGGACTTCGAGAAGTCAACGTCGATTTGGCAGGGACTTGTCCTTCAGGAGAACACCCCTCTCTCTCTCTCTAATGAAGGAAGAGGATCGAACTGTACCAAATACTTTTCTCCCCGTGCGGGGTCGTCCATTCCCACGCTTCTGCAACTACTACCTTTGGCATCAGAGAATGTGCCTATTCTTCCTCTCTCTCTCTTTCTCTCTCCTTCTCTCTAGCCCTTTTTTTAGCGAAAGAATGGCGATGAGTCCCCATCTTTTTCTGGAGTGCTATCATTAACGAACGCGCATTCTCACCAAAGGCACAACCACCCTCACACACCTAGAAAAAACGGCTTTTCACCAACCCACCGCCACAAGATTCCCTTCCTTCCTTCCTTCTCCTTTCTTGCTCCCCTGCCTCGTCTCTGAATTCTGCCCCTGAAGGTACCCTTTTGAACGTTCACTCTGTTCTTCTTTTTCCTGTTTGGAACCCGATTCTTGGGTTGAACCTGCGACCCTTTTTAGCCGTTTCTTTCTTCTTCTCTTTTCTTGCTCCCCTGCCCCGTCTCTGAATTCTGCGCCTGAAGGTACCCTTTTGAACTTTCGGTCTGTTCTTCTTTTTCCTGTTTGGAACCCGATTCTGGGATTGAGCCTCCGACCCTTTTTAGACGTTTCTTGGTCTTCGTCTCCGGTTCACCGGATTGATCTCGCTGTTGGTACGTGCGGATGTTGTTTTCTTGGATGCATGTAGGTGACTTTGGCCTGAGAATTGCTTGGTTCGTAATGAGTCAGTCGTGATTGCTTGGTTTGAATCTGGGGTACCTGATATTGACGTGCACCTCGACGGCTTGTGATTGTATTATCTGAATTCTTTGCCTTTTTTTCTTCCGTTGGTTGAAGAATCCTGTGAGATGAGTGTTGCTTCTTGCGTGTGAATTTTCATTGGCTGATGATGGTACGAGTGGACTGTGAGGAAATTTGCTGTTTTTATGATTGTTCCTCTGTTCTTCGGGTTGGAGAAATGCGGTCGATTCGAGAGATCAGGTTCTTTGTGATCCGAACTCGTCGGGTTATTCTATGACGAGTCTGTAGTTCTGTTTTGGTTTATGGAAAATGTTAATGACTTTGGATCAAGGAATTCTTTGTTCCTTTTCTTTTATTCTGTCGTGGTTGTCTGTGTATGATATAATCTTATTGCCAGCTTTGAAGCTTGTGCTCAAAATCTGAATTCTGCTTAATGTCTCTAGTGAGTCGCGACAATAGCCTCAATCAAGCTAAATCTGCCTAAGTTTGTTAGAGTGGAGTGCTGCGGAAAGCTCCTGGTCAGAGTTTGTGGTCACCACACCAAGTGTATCCAGGTGATCTTCCCAAACTCATGAACTATGAATACATGCATATTTTAATTGTACAATGTAATGACATGCATATTGCACTTTGCAAATAATGGGGGGTTTTGCGGGTCTTAAAGCTATTGACAAACCGTGATAGTGACATCGCAACTTACCCTCCTCCATTAGTTTCTCTTTTCCAAAGATGCTAACTTTTCTTTTTCCCATCTGCACTTTGTTGAATGAGTTTTGTCGCATGAGTTTTTTGGGATGTGTTTTATGATCAGACTTACATGGTTTCTTTTCATTTGTCATGAAAGCGATTACATAGATGCATGCATTCTATTTCCTCATAAAATCAAGAATCTCGTGATTTCTTGGAAACACATTCCAAGTAACTAAGTAAGGGCGATAGAGGAGAATGGAACTGCTCTGCTATTTTCTCTCTCTAGGTTCCTAGCAAGTGATCCTTGTCCTACTGAAAGATTGAAAGAGGCCAAGCATTTCTAGAGAATAAGTGGCAGGCTTCATTTGAGTCCTCTTTTCTTTTTTTCCCCTGCCATCTGTCTGTTGCCTATAGGCTTTGGATGGTGAAGGTATTTCAACTTTAGCACGTCTTTTTGTTTAGCATCTTGCCACTCGGTAACATTATGTTTGGTTGTGTACTTATCGTTTCTGTATTGTACTTAAAACCGTTAATATTGCCTTTTAAACTACTAGCATCTGGCTTGTCAAAGAAGACTTGGGATTCATTTCTATGGCACTTTGACAACTCTAAGTTGGACCTTATAGCAGCAACTGTTGTTGACAAATCTGTCTGAACTATCTTGAACTCGAACTTTATCGTACTATAGCAATGACCTTTACTTACTGAATTTTTCATTTTTTTGTGCAGTGTTTTTACTATCACCTGCTGTTTGCTGCCTTTCTCACTAGATCGGCAGTTGGATATACTGTCTTCTGAGGATGGACGGGGAAACGCACGCTGAGGTAATGATCCCGCAGAAAGTCGAATCTCTATGTGCTCAGCTGAGAAGAAACTCTACGGGAATAATGGCTGCACCAAATCTTCAACCACCGATTCTTTCACGTTATCTAAGAGCCTCGATGGGATCCTGCCATGATATGTGCAAATATGGGAGGAAACATAATTCTGAAGCAACGACTAATTACCTGAGGTCAAGAAGAAAAGCCGCCATTTCTCAGGATCTCCATAACCGGGATAAGACCAGTGCTCAGTTGGAGGGGAATGAGAAATCATTAGCCAATGTTGACAAATATCCTGACTCCGTCATTGTGAAGAAAGATGATTCCTGGTCAACTCCAGATAGAGATGTCATTGTGAAGAAGGCTGCCATTTCTGGGGATCGCTATGACCAGGATAAGACCAGTGCTTTTCTGGAGGAAAAGGAGAAATCATTAGTCAATGTTGACGAATCTCCTAAGTCCGTCATTGTGAAGAGAGATGATTCCTTGTCAACTCAAGACAGATATGTAATTGTGAAGAAGACTGCGATTTCTGCTGATCTCTATGACCAGGATAAGACCAGTGCTCTGTTGGAAGGAAAGGAGAAATCATTAGTAACTGTTGATGAATCTTCTAGGTCCGTCATTGTGAAGAGAGATGATTCTTTGTCAACTCTAGACAGAGATGTCTCCTTTCAACAGCCAGAGGATCCAGATGTCACCGGAGATTTTGCTGCCGGCCTGAAGGAAAACTCTGTCCATCCAAGTCCATCTACTCATGCTAAAGAGGGAACAGGTGATAAAGTACCCAATGAAACTGGAGGGGCACTTTCAGTGGCCGCTCCCAAGAGTTCAAGCAGCAGAAAAAACCAGAAAATCAGAAGCACTAAAGCAACAAGGGTCTCTGTGAATGAGAAGGAAAAGATCTTGCCAAGTACGGCATCCATTGCTCCCGAGCGTTCTAGCAGAAGAGGCTCAAACAGGGAAACGAGAAACTATAAGCACAGCAAATTAGCATCCAATCAGAAAGACTGCAGTATCAGTAATGCTAAGCCTAAGGTTTCCAATTGCGAGGATAAGACTGAAAAGACTTCTGATTTTGCAGTGGCAGATGTTGGAAATAAAATGGCAGGAACTACTGAGAATAGCGTCCATACTTTGGATGAGAGTCCTAATGCAGAGAAAGAAAGAAGATCAAATGAAAAGATTGCCCCTCAACTTCGACCATCATCAGGGAAGAATAAATTAAGACGCTCAGTAAATGCATGTGGTTTGGCCAAATTACCTCCATCCTCTGATATGAAAAACACGAGAAGAATTGGAAGACAGGTTAATCAATCGCCTTCATCTTCATCCTTGCGCTTAACACCATCTCCATCGACATCAAAGTCTACCAATGGTGATACTCCATCTGAGCATGAGGCAGCAGAAAAGGGGAATCCAGAGGCTCGTTCAAACACAAATAGGCCCAAGAGGGTTAACACAGGTAGCTCTGAAGTCAAAAATTGCCAGCCTCAAAATCTACCCTTCAGGAGAGGGAAGGTGGTAGAACCTCGACTTGAGAACGTCGTTCCTCCGAGGAAACTCAGGTTTCGACGACCAAGACTACTTGGCGAGTGCCAAATTGGTAAGGGTGATGCAGGAAGAAGAATCTTTAGGAGAAAAGACATTGATTCTCTGGAGTTGAAGAGTATTAAATCTGAGAAAATCGTCTTGAAGCACCGACATGTGGAGAAGAGAGAAAACGCGCAAAGTTTGTTTAATAATGTGATTGAAGAAACAGCTAGTAAGCTTGTTGAGACAAGGAAGAGTAAGGTCAAAGCGTTGGTTGGTGCTTTTGAAACTGTGATCTCCCTTCAAGATACTAAACCAAAGGCCACAGTCACTGCCTGTTGAACTGTTCTGGTTCTGTTTAGGTTTTAGTTCCATGGTTTTATTGTACATAAGGATATCTAAAGATAACTTCTGTTGTTCTTGTGGCATGCGAACTATATCTCAAGACTGGCTAATTGAGCTGAGAAAGTGTCTGGTGTGAATTCTATAGTTTTGACACCTATTGTTGATCAGGTTGTTGTGTGTATAGAAAGAATGCAACTTGATTGGATTGTGGATTTAACTCTCTTCTGAATTCTTGGAATTTTAAACATGGTTGTTTTTGCACTCTATGTACCTCTTGTTTGTATATTCATGTAACCCTATCGGTCTGTTGTTTGGTTTGCAATGGAGGACATATAATAATGCTCAAAGCATTTGCTGACATGATGACTGTGGTCTTGTTTGGGAGCTGCAGAATAAAGGATCCATCTTCGGCAATCCTAATGTGATTTTGACTGTGCTTGATCATTCTCAACTGGCATATCCTGGTATTCTGTGTACTGTTGTGCTTGTCGCACAACTTTTTCACAGATCATGATGCTGCTAGTTGGCTTTTTTGAGTTATGAAGGACTCTCTGTCTGCACTCTGCAGTGACACAGCAGCCATCATAGTGATGACCAGATATTCAAGGATATTCACTATGTCAAGATTATTTGTGGGGCGGTGACCTACTTATCTCTGCTTGTTCCAATCTTTTGTGAGTGCTACAGGAGGAAACTTTATGTCACCATGGTCCTTCTCTAGATGACCCATCTTTAGCGTCTTTTGTGCACGTACCGGCAGGTTTCGTGTGCTAGCTAACAATTTCTAGCTGAGTTTAACCAAAATTTTGCTGTTAACCAAACTTCGTTTGTTCTGCTTCTCTGATTGAATCCAGGATACTCAAACACCTTATAATATGGCCGCATCACTTATTCATGAGAAGTTGCTAACTTTGCTCAACCTGTTTAGCAGAAATACTACTGCCAGCTTAAAGATCTGATATATCCTCCATTTTTCATCTCATTGTTGTTGAATGTCTGCTGAGATTATCTTGTGATTAACATAGTTGATGGCTGTTTGCCATAGAAGAAGCAGCGGTGCGAGTAGTGGCCTCATAGGCACATAATTCGTTCTTTTGCAGATTTACTACTATTCTGCATCAGAGTTCAAACTTTATAGAATACAATTGAAACGACCCACTAATACGTGAAGTATTTGCTTATAATCAATCCACAAGTGAATCTTGTTGTGCATATTAAGTAGACTTAGAAGCAGAAACATATGACAGGAGCTTCTCCGGATCTGATCTTCTTTGCCTTCTCCTTAACTTGAGATTCTTCAGTTCTTCTTTTCTCCTCTGCTTGTGCCCTTGCTTCACGTGCGACCTGATCATATCTTGCTACCTTATATTGGTAATGCTGTTGATTTCTTGACCTTCTCTGCTCAAGCTCATTCTACAATTGGGATAGCATCATTAGGGCTTTGACATTATCAGCCTTCGTTAGTTTGAGAATATCACAGCTTAAGATGTCGCCGTACCCTTTTCCTTTCAAAAGAACGTTTGGCTCTTGTTTTCTTCTCCTTCTCCCATTGAAAAATGCTGGACTTCATACTCTCATGCCTGAAATTTGAGATGGTTATGAAACTAGCGTAGTGGTGTGTTTGCTGAGCAGCTGGAAGTTTTACGTTCGTATGGGGTCGAATTTTCATCATTACTGAATACCAAATTATATTGACAATTGATAATGGAAGCTCACCTCTTTCTAATCTTTTCAATCTGAGCTCTCTCCCAGGCATCTGCTTTGTCTTCCTTTCTACTATGTCTTGATCGGTTCTCGTTCAATTTTGGGGTAATGGAAGTAGATGGCGACTTTTTCGCGGAAGCTTTCCATGGTACGTTAGTTTTAGTCCCTTGAAAGATTAATATCAACAGTGAAGAGAATGTGGTAATGATTTGGGGAGAATTAACCTTACCTTCCGCTTCCAAGTTTGAGGATCCCATGGTTACTTTTTTGGCAGTTGTTGGTCCCGTCTTCATATCGACCATTTTGCTCTTAATCTTATTCTGGGAGGATGCAAAGTCCTCTCTCATCTTTGTTCTCTTTCCTACCTCATTTTCTTCAAGGGAACATATAGCAAATGCAGCGGCTGCGACCGCACTTGCATACTCGCCGTCCCCATAGTCATAATCCTTACTCATTTGGCCAGAAAACTGCCTCGTGAACCAGTTCTGTGTCTTCTGATCTGCAAAAAATCCCATGATGTGATGACTAATTCATTGCTCAAAATGTTGCCGGCAGTAATATGGACTGTAGGTTTTATGTGGGTCTCAACCTTTCTTCTGATTATTGTAGTTCCTGTGTTAGATGCCAATTAATATGAGAACCATTCGAGTATCGAACCTCATTAGCGTACTCAATAGTTTTTTTCTGGTCTGAACGATGTGCATGTAAATAAGGATTGCTCACGTAAAAGACATGAATACCTCCTTTCGAAGAATCCGTTTGTTGCTGTACCGTTCTGATTTGTCTGCTCCCGCTGACCTCTTCCTCCTTAGGGTCCAAAAACCTTACTCTGCAAGGCAGTTTAGTCTGCTAATGGACAAGAACAATGGCAGCACAAAACTATGTTCGATGCAGACACTTAACATAAGCCACTCTTTATTATTTTCTCCTTTCCATCTTCGACGGAGCTAGATGTACTCTAATCAATCTCTGCTATGAATTTATATGGATCTCGTGCGATAGTTCTCTAGCCTTTTAACCGTAAGAAGGGGAAGAAACTTCAGTTCAACAGAGGAAATGATAAAAGCGGGTATGATCATAAAGGTCTAGCGCCAAACGTTGAGATATAAGGTCTGGTATTTGAGTTACCTTCCCTGCTTGATTAGATTCTCCATTCTCTGAAATCCCCGGCAGTGACTGTTCGCCCGATTTACCTTTTCTTTTCTTTTCAAATAGCTTTCCTGAATCAATACAAGGAATTCTGTATTGGAAGGGAAAACTTTGGAATGCTTATTTGATCTTGTAGCATGTGAACAGAAGCCAATGAAGCAAAGTCTTGTGCGCTTTTTGTGCAGATGCAAGCAAAGTATCTCTCTCTCTCTGAGAGACATTTCTTCCTACTTTCATGTCTTTGATGAAGATAAAGTGGTCCTTTTCAGCATCTCCGGGCAGCGACAAAGAGGAAGGATCGGACGATGCGAAGTGTGCAACTGGATCCTTTGAAGTGGATTCCCATGACATTCTCTTTTTCCACTCGAATGGATTGAAAGAATAACATCAAAACTTTCAGTGACCCAAGAAGATGGCAGATGCATAGATTCTTTGTTTTGTGGGAGCAGATTGAGAGACATTGTCTTGCGCTTGAAGCCCAGAATCTACCAGAGTGGTGGTGCAGCTTTTTTGAACTGTGACATGGGACAATAAGGTCAGAGAAAGTTGTTGTTGAAAGAGAAAATACTGACGTATCTATTTCTCATATTCACAATAGTTACAACAAGTCTCTATTTATACACAACAGGAACTAGTAAGAGATAAGTCCTATTTAAAAACCTATTTAATAGGTAGTTGGTAGGATGACAGCTAACACTAATTAATAGCTAATTAATAGCTATGACAGCTAAATAACACATTCCAACATGCTAATTAATAGCTATGACAGCTAAATAACAAATTCCAACACTCCCCCTCAAGCTGGCATGAAGATATCTTCCATAGACAGCTTGCTCACTAGACGGTCAAATTGTCTTCTGTGCAGTCCCTTGGTCAGAATGTCAGCAGCCTGTTCATCACTTGAAATATACGGCATACAAATTAGCCCTCTATCAAGTTTTTCTTTGATGAAGTGTTTATCAACTTCCACATGCTTTGTTCGTTCATGTAACACAGGATTATGAGCAATAGCAATTGCTGCCTTATTATCGCAATACACTTTCGTTGGTGTGGAGCTCAAAATTTGTAGTTCATCCAAGATGCCTTTAATCCACATAACTTCGCAGACACCATGTGCTACGGACCGAAACTCAGCTTCAGCACTACTTCTTGCCACCACACTCTGCTTTTTACTCTTCCAAGTGACTAAATTTCCACCAACAAACGTGCAATAGCCTGAAGTAGATCTCCTATCCATACTGCTTCCAGCCCAATCTGCATCGGTGAACACCTCAATTTCCAGATGTCCATGTTTCTCAAACATTAGCCCCTTACCAGGACTTCCCTTTAGGTAGCGTAGAATTCTGTATACTGCTTCAAAATGCCTTGGCCCTGGTGAGTGCATGAACTGACTTACCATACTTACGGAAAACGCTATGTCAGGTCGAGTGTGAGATAAGTAAATAAGTCGACCGACAAGCCTTTGATACCTTTCTCGGTCTATCACTTCTTCAGCCTTAGCTGGTTCAAGTTTCAGATTTGGCTCCACGGGTGTATCCGCCGCTTTACATCCTAACAAACCTGTCTCTTTGAGCAAATCAAGTGTGTATTTCCGTTGGTTTACGAATATGCCTTTCTTAGATCTTGCAAATTCTATTCCAAGGAAATATTTCAAAACACCCAAATCCTTAACTTCAAACTCCTCAGCCAGCTTCTTTCGCAAGCTTTCCAACTCAATTTTGTCATCACCGGTCAGTATTATATCATCAACATAGACAATTAGAATGGCACGCTTACCTTCCTTTGAGTGTTTATAGAATAGAGTGTGATCCCCTTGACTTTGGTGATAGCCGAACCTTTTAATCACTTTCCCGAACCGTTCAAACCACGCTCTTGGAGATTGTTTAAGTCCATACAATGACTTTTTTAATCTGCAGACTTTGCCTTCATTTTCTGCAAAACCTGGTGGCAAACTCATAAACACTTCCTCCTCCAAGTCACCATTCAAGAACGCATTCTTCACATCTAATTGGTATAAGGGCCAATCAAAAACAGCAGCCAAAGATAGTAAAATCCGAACAGAATTTATCTTGGCAACTGGGGCAAAAGTCTCTTGATAGTCTACTCCATAAGTCTGAGTGAACCCCTTTGCCACTAGCCTGGCTTTATACCGCTCAACACTCCCATCAGGTTTACATTTTATAGTAAATACCCATTTACAACCAATAATCTTTTTTTCTTCCGGTGTATCAACCAATTCCCATGTGCCATTCTTTGTAAGAGCCTGCATTTCATCCTCTACTGCCATTTTCCACTTTGGATCCTTCAAAGCGTCATGGATATTTCTAGGAATGGATATGTGAGACAAGTTTGACACAAACGCTTTATGATGATGAGACAATTTTTGGTACGACACATATTTTGATATAGGATGCTGAGTACATGATCTAACCCCTTTTCTAAGAGCTATAGGCATATCAAGATTAGAGGTATTAATATCAGAATTTGAGACTGGAATGGAGGGAAAAAAAGTACTACTAGGATCACCTGATGACAAAGGCAAGGAATCATCTCTCGGGGTTGCAGACATATGAGGCTCCAAGACAAAGTTCTGATCAGCAACCTTTTGAAGAGTTTTTCTTCTAGTATAAACCTGAAGCTCGGGCTTGTTGATCATATTTTGAACTTTTTCTCCCCCTGTCTCTCCCCCTGTCTTTGACACATCAAGGTCTGGCAAAGGTTTTTCCGAAGACTCAGACAAAGGAGTGGGAAGAACAGGAGAGTTTTTAGACAAAGGAGTGGGAAGAACAGGAGAGTTTGATTGCCACAAAATCTCTTCACTAACCTCAGCATTCTCCCCCTGAAGAGATGTGTTGGAAAAAAACGATTGCAACTCTAAGAATGTGACATCCATAGTGACATGAGTTTTGCCAGTATGTGGATTGTAACACTTGTAACCTCTTTGGTTAGGTGCATATCCTATAAACGCACACTTTTCAGCCCGAGGATCCAATTTAGATCGACACTGACTTGGGAGGTGGACAAATGCAGTGCAACCAAACACCCTTAGAGGAATATCAGAAAAAATACGGGCAGTGGGATACACTTTTTTGAAGCAATCTAAGGGAGTAATGTAATTTAATACCCGAGTAGGCAGCCTATTAATTAGATAAGATGCTGTTAACACAGCTTCCCCCCATAAATATTTAGGCACAAACATTGAAAACCTAAGGGCACGAGATACTTCAAGGAGATGGCGATTTTTGCGTTCAGCAATGCCATTCTGTTGGGGTGTAATTCGGCAAGTGGACTGGTGAAAAATGCCTTTTTCTCTCAAAAAACTCCCCAAATACTGGTTATAATATTCAGTACCATTATCCGTACGAAGAATTTTAATAGTAGTGCTGAATTGAGTCACAACCATTTGATAAAAAATTTTGAACAGAGACTCCACTTCAGACTTAGCACTCATCAAGTATGTCCAACATAAACGGGTATGATCATCTATAAAGGTGACAAACCATCGTTTCCCAGTTTTTGTTGGCACGGGTGAAGGACCCCAAACATCACTATGGATTAAATAAAATGGTGATGATGCACGATACTGTTTTGGACTATAATGAGTACGATGACTTTTAGAAAAAACACAATTGTTACAATGTAGCGAAGAAATATCCACACCTTTGAACAAATGAGGAAACAAATATTTCAAGTAGCCAAAGCTAGGATGGCCTATTCTTTGGTGCCAAACCATTATTTTTTCTGGAACAGAAGAAGAATTGAAGACAGGGGGAGAGCTGAAAGTTCCAAACGCCTGAGCTTTTTTATCAAAGAAAAACTCTTCAAAATAGTAGAGACCATCCCTCATCCTAGCATTGCCAATCATCTTCCCCGAGATCTGATCCTGAAACTCACAATGGGAAGCAAAAAAGACAACACGACAGTTAGACTCTTTGGAAAGTTTGCTAACAGACAGTAGGTTACAAGCTAACTTAGGAACATGCAGGACATTATGAAGTGTAATAGAATCTGAAGTTGCCAATGCCGAACCATCCAATGATCCATCCTTTCCACTGGTTGTCGCCTTGCCCAGCATTATTCCCCGTCTACTTTCTTCTCTCCGAACCTCTGAGAAGACCTCTCCAATAGGTGGAAGAGGTTGCTTCCCAAGTATTCTGCCACGAACTTCATCAAACTCATCTCGAAGTCCTGCCAGGAAAGCGTAGATACGTTCGGCTTCTACAATTTTCCTGTACCGATTACCATCGTCAGTACAATTCCACTCATGGTCATTGAATAAATCTAGCTCGTGCCACAAACGTTTCAAAGAGTGAAAGTATTTTGTAACAATTTCCTCTCCTTGCCGCATCTTCCCCAGTTTCAAGGTTAACTCATAGATTTGAGATTGATTTCCCAAATCTGAATACATCTCACACACGGCATCCCAAAGTTCCTTAGCAGTATGATAGCCCAGATAGTTTGCACCAATATCTTCTTCCATTGAGTTGGTCAGCCACGTCATAATCGTCGAATTCTCCGCATCCCAGACAGCCCAAGTGGGGTCATTTATCGCTGGTTCTGCGGTATCTCCAGTCAGATAGCCAATCTTTCCTCTGCCTCGTATATACATTCGGACAGATTGAGACCACCGAAGAAAGTTATCTCCATTAAGCTTAATGGAAGTGATTTGAATAGGGTGAGGTTCGGTGGATTTTGGAAGAAGTGATGGGGGATTAGACCGAGTGATTGATGATTCTTCTGACATAGTGATCAAATGATCAAAGAGAGAGACCAGAATTTTTTTTTTTTTTTTTTTTTTGGACGTAAGGGAGAGGCTGGTGGCTCTTCTTAGGAGAGAAGTGATGATGCAACAGAGACCTGCTCTGATACCATGTTGAAAGAGAAAATACTGATGTATCTATTTCTCATATTCACAATAATTACAACAAGTCTCTATTTATACACAACAGGAACTAGTAAGAGATAAGTCCTATTTAAAAACCTATTTAATAGGTAGTTGGTAGGATGACAGCTAACACTAATTAATAGCTAATTAATAGCTATGACAGCTAAATAACACATTCCAACATGCTAATTAATAGCTATGACAGCTAAATAACAAATTCCAACAGTTGTTTCCTTCATTTGGGATGCTTTGTTTCTCTTGTTCAACAATCAATCTGAAGCAATGCCATCCTCTCGTCATTGGGTCCTTTTGCAGTCTTCTTTGTGCGGTTATACAGGTCATACTTGATTTTGCCATTTTTGCATAGAAAATGAATTTTAATTCAGCTGATGATTGAGCTGTAAAATAATATTTGGTGAAGTTAATTTCCATTTATTCTATTTTTTCTTATATGAGACAACTGCCGTCAAAGTCTAGAACTCTTCTACATATATTAACAATGCACATAGACCACGAATAGGACTAATGAGCTTTCAGCCTCTAGAGCCCTTTGGAGAAATGTTGGGTATTTGGCGAGCTCTCCTAAGGGGCTTTCGGCTAAATGCTGACCTGGACCAGCATTGAGCTTTCAGTATTTGATCGAATGCTGAAATTAGTTTTTTTCTTCACAAACTATCCTTACAAATTCTTTAATTTTCCGATTTTATCCCTCGTTGTTATTGTTCATTTACTTTGCATGAGGGTGGGTGGTGAGGGCCGACGAGGCTAGATTGGGCCGGCGGTTGCTTGGGTCGCGCAACCCACATCGGTGGCACGACCTCGGGCAATGGCCATCGACGCCAAATCTGGCTTGCCGGCGGCCTTAGTCCTTTACTAGAGCTGGCAAAAGGTTTGATTTTTTTTTTTGATTTTTTAATAAAAAAGAAAAATTAAACCCAAAAGCCCTTTGCGAAAAAAAAATTGCCAAACACTACTTAGCCCAAAATAGCTTTACAAATGATTTTTTACCAAACATAATTTGCATTTTCCCAATGCTCATTTGCAAAGTCGAACCAAATGCAGCTTAAGTTTACTTCATCAAAATTGATCTAGGACCGAGTATGATTCAATAAAATTTAAGGTTTATGCTCTATTTGTTTCACAGAAACATAATGATTTAGGAAATATTTTTTTAAAAGTAACTGATTGCATCTAGGGGTGAGCAACTTGGACCGCCCAAATCGGGATCGGACTGGACCGGACCGGACCGAACCGATGGGTTTGATCCGGTTCTCGGGACTATCGGTCTGGTTCCCGGTTCTTAAAAGCGGAACCGATTTTCGGGTGGTCCAGTTCCCTATTCCAAGGGGGAACCGGACTGGACCAGACCGCCTATTTAATATATATATTTGTTATTTTTTTCTTTAAAAAAATTAATAAAATATGAACTAAACTCTAAGTGAACTTCATTATCATAAATTCATTGATAAAAATTAGTAAAATGTGAATTAAACCCTACATGAACTTCATTGACATAAATTCATTGACAAAAATTAGTAAAATGTGAACCAAACCTTAAGTGTTTAATAAAAAAAAAACTAAACTCTAAGTGACCGGTTCCATTGGACCGGACCGGAACCGGATCGAACCGACGATCCAATCCGATTCCTGGTCCTAGAACCAACCGGTCCGGTTCCCGATTCCACCTTGGAACCGGACCGGACCGGACCGGGAACCGATCACCCTTAGAATTTATCCCCTCTCTCTCTCTCTCTCGGCTCGATGGCCATGCTGGTTTTATCGTCGCTTGAGACCTGTGAGGCATGGCCGGGCCTGTGCATGGCTATGGTGCTAGATCAACTACTTACTTAATAGAGAGTGTATGCATAAATATCAACTTGTGGCTATATAAAAATAGATAGAATAGCAAACTTTGCATAGTAAAACATTGGGAAAATTACCAAAAAAGTCATAAACTTATTATACTTTTGCCAATTCATTCATAAACTTTTAATTGTGCCAATTGAGTCCTAAATTTTTTTCACTTTTTGACTATTAAGTTCATCAAGCCAATTTTGCTGGAAATCGTTGACATAGACACCAGTTGCTTTATGTGGTACAGTTGGCGCTGACGTAGACAATTTTAATATTTTTTCAAAATTCTTTCAAAAAAAATTTCTTTTTTTCTTCTCTTTTCCTTCTTTTTTGTTTTTCGGTAGGTGAGGGTCCTGCCATGTGAACCCCTTGCCAGCAGCAAGGGAGGGTCGCAGGCCCTCGCCCATACCATCGCAGCCTCGGGCGAGGCCCCCTTGCCTAGAGTTAGGCGAGGCTGGCCTCTCTAGCGGCCATGATGGCCTTGCACAGATCCGAGCAAAGGCCATGACACTCGCTGGCTACAATTAAAAGAAAAAGAAGGAAAAAAGAAGATAACAAAAAAAAATAACAAAATCGAAAAGAAAATATTAAAATTGTCCGTGTTAGTGCCGGTCATACCACTTAGGATGGCTAGCATATCCGTTAGCGGTTTCCAGCAAAATTGGCTGGATAGAGTCAATTAACAAAATGTAAAAATGTTTAAAACTCAATTGGCACAATTAAAGGGTTTATGATTTAATTGGCAAAAATATAATATGTTTAGGATTTTTTTGGTAATTTTTTCAAAAACATCTTATTGGTGAAAGGATAAACGATTTTCCAATTTTGACGAATTCATTCACGAGCATGATTTTGAGAAGAGAGAGCTGAAAGTATCATCCCCCGAATCCAACATTAACTATTAAACTGCATATTCTTTTCATTTTCTGCAACGTCAATTGAGGCAAGTAACAAGGATGGCCAATTTATAAGCATCCAAATTCAAGTTCAAACCAAAAAAGAGGAAGCCTCCTCCTAGATATTTCCCAAAATGATATTTCCTAAAATTCCCTTCTTGGCTCAGCCTTTTAATTCCCATTGATAACAATTTCTCTTATAGATATATTCAAGGCAAATTTGGTAACTCCAAAAATTGAGTTTTCACAGTATGCGTGCCAATTTTGGCCATGCTATAGTGACAAAAATGACCAAGAACTCATGTTGTGATGCGGGGGTACATGCGGGATTTTCGAAAGAAATGGAAAGTCCTTCCTTTTTTGAAAATGAAACTAAACCATCAATATATCATGCAGTACTGGAAAATGCACAGGAGATGGGCCCACCGACCAATCACACAGATTCCAGGTAGCTTAAGACTCATTACTTTCTCCTATAAATAAGAGGCCGAACCCACTTAGATGCTCACTACTTTCATATTTCTCTCTTTAATTTTTCGTAACTAGTGTGAGTAAACAAACAAATCCCAGTGTCTCTGGCTAACTAGTTTGCTCTTTTTTGAGAATGATTATGAGACTTATTTCTTTCGTGCTAACTTATTGTTCATTGTTATAGGGCAATCTTTTTGTTGAAGTGGTTAATGGAGAGCTTCAACAACTCCAACAACAAGAAGCAGAGAATCAGTTCCCTAGGGATGCCTCCATTATCTTCAACAAGCCAGAGAATGGAAGGACAAAGCTCACAAAACCCTAATATCAACCCTAAGAAGCGTAAGAGGTGCTTGTCAATGTAAAACCTTTAAACGTGTTTCAAAATGTTAGCATGGATAACCATGCCCATTTTCTTGACCTAGACATATCATTTGAAAGTGCTGGTCAGAAAAGAAACGGGCAAAAAAAAAAAAACACAGAAATGGCAAAAACAGTGGAGAGATATTCAATTTTCGGTTCTCTTAATATTCCAATTCTTAGTATATAACGTGGTGCCTTTTAAAAAAAAGTGGTGACTTTTTTTCAATTTTCTTTTGTTTTTGTGTTTTTCAGGACATTGGCAAGCAGGCAGTACAGTGAAATATTTCATCCCGAAGAGATTTCTCAAATAATGCAAATGGAACGGATAGTGAAATCTCTTGAAGTTAGTTATCGATATGATTACTCTACCAATTTATGTTCATTTAGTGTGCTCTCAAGATTTGACATTCGAAGTGATGCAGATGACAAGTATCTAATGATTTTGAATTTCTCTTGTTTGATGTATACAGGCCAACATAGGAAAGGACTTTGTGACGATGTACTATTGGGAACGGCAGTACTATTTATTCCAAGTTGAAAATGACAAATTAAAGCGAAAAATCAGTTTCTTTTCTCATAAAATCGAATCCAAACAAGGTCCTCTCTCTTTCTCTCTCTCTTTGCGCGCACGCGTATCAAAGGAGAAATTAAAAATATGTAATTGACCGATATTTGATGCAGCTGAATATGTGCAATTGAAGAAAGAGAAGGACGAGCTAACAGAGGTGTATGTGGAACAACAGCGAAAGTATGAAGAGCTCATGAACCAATTGGGACTTCCAACCTACAATTATATGTAGGCCAAGAGATTAAGATGCTTTGAGTTAATTAAGTTCTTGTTAAGAGACCCAAAATCCTTAAGTCTTTACATTTTATGCTTGATCCAGTTTTCAGTATGAGTGTGGTTGTTCTATCTATGTGAGATTAATAAAGACAGTTTGGAGCTTTAAAACTCCATGGCTTCATTTATATGTTTATACCAAATGAACCATTTGTTAAACTTTTGCGTGCCTCGTGATCTTATAGAATTGTTTATCTCAAATCTAAGGATGATTTATGATTAATATGCACACACTTAATAGATGTTCTTCATTCATATTGTATCATTTGTCGGAATAACCTTGTACATGTTGGCTGTGGAGAGTCTATCTAGCCAATGGAAGAAGTAAAACGTATGTATACTACACATTCATAAATCTATACTGTCCTCGACTCTTCCAAAGTCACATCATTTGCTTGAATCAACTAAGAAAACAGGAGTCAAAATCAATTTGTCCTAGCCTGATTATATTGTTCGAATTTTGTTTGATGTTATGCTTTCACCGAATGGATATCTTACTAGCGTTCTTCGGTAAAAGTGGACTTAATGGAGATTAGAATATGGATGTATGTCATAACATTTACAACCTCTTTCTTATAATCACTCTAATAGCCGGCCGTGTGCACGTACGTCTTGCATGACACTAATTCGACCTCTCAACATTACGTGATCTCATGCATAAATGAACTGAAATAACTTTAACGCCCAGGATTATCTTGAAATTGCAAGTTATTTGATCCATTGCTCTAACGGAAATAGTTAGCCGTTGACGATAATTTAATAATCACCTTTTAAGGAATTACTTTGGCGTGTTAGGCTCATCAAGGAAGCAAAGCACATATTAGAGTGTCAATCATGTGCATTAAAAAGGTTGAACCATCATATAAGCGAGGGTCGATCATAACGAGAATTTTGTGTTAATTTCTAGTAATCACCCCCTTTTCTCTTCTAATCATTTCATGAAATCCTCTTAAGTTTGTTGTTCTATAATTGTAGGCTCCATTGTCGTATGACGGCGCTACTATCGTTAATCACCTAATCTTCATTATTTTTGAGCCACCGTACATTGCCCAATTGTTAATATTGATTGTTTTGTTGGTTCTTCGATCCTCAAATGGATATTGTCGTGAAAATTAAGAGTGTTTTTCATTCGCATATGCAGGCTTTTTGCCTATTCTAAACGTATATAGTGTTGTACCTTTTATATCTCTGTTAGATTGAAGCCATTGACCGAAAGGAATGATTGATTTTTTTTTTTTCCATATTTTCTTAATTCTCTGATTTTCCTATATCAACTAATTCATCACCTTCCAAAAATGTTGGATTATGGACAAAATCCTCATTCGTGGTTGATTTATGGCATGCAAATCAAGAAGCATAAAAGAAGATATGTTTAACCAAAGAATAAGAAAATAAGAAGCCTAGCTGAATCCATCTTGGTTACGAACTTTGGTGATTACAATGTTTGTTGTAGATCGATAGTAAAACTGTAAACTAGATTGTCATAAACTTTTATACATTTACTAACACTAAGTTGCTTTAAAAATTCTAAGAAACTTGAGGCATATCTTAAAATGGTTTTAATTAAGGGTGAGCAAGATGGACCGCCCAAACTGGGACCAGACCGGACCGGACCGAACCGACCGGTTTGGTCCGGTTCTTGGGAATATCGGTCTGGTTCCCGGTTCCGAAAAGTGGAACTGGTTTCTGGGCGGTCCGGTTCCCGGTTCTAGGGTGGGAACCGGACCAGACCGATAAATATATATTTTTCTAATTTTTTCATATATATATTTATTTACTTTTTAATTACATATATTTAAATAACAAAAGAAGCATTTGATAGTTCATTTTTATTCGGTTCCAATGGGACCAACCCAAAATTGCTTTCATATATTGGTCCCGAAAATGGTTCCCGATTCCCTCTTGCCTTTACCAATTGATCCCATTGGAATCGGACCGGACCAACGGTCCGGTCCAGTCCACGGTCCCAAGATTAGACGGTCTTGTCCCCGATCCTAGAAACTGGGAACCGATCCTCCCGGTCCGGTTCCCGGTTCTTGGGTTGGACCGGACCGGACCGGGAACCACTCACCCCTAATTGCATCACTTGAAATAATATGTAAATGGAAAATGTTTTCATTATCGACATTAATTTATGTCTAAACATTTTCGTGGATGATGAAAATATTTTTCGCATATTCATTTTTGCAAGTGATACACGTGACCCTTTTCAGGAAAATATTTTCCAACATCATTCATTTTCGACGAAACAAACGGAGCCCTTTTGATCCGAAAAATTTACCTCTCAATTCTTTTTCCCTTTCTTTCCCCAACAACCCTAAAATCTATATTATTATAAAGACAACATTCCAAATTTTGGTCTAACCTCTTCAAAAGTCCAGAAATACCCTTGGTAGAGTGTGAAATATAGCACCCGTGACCTATTATTCGGGAGGATAAAATGGTAAATTCAGTTAAATCCGAAGGGAACCTACGTTGCACAAGCATGCGAGCAAATTAGATTTCCCGATATGACCGCTTAAAACCGAAGGGGGTGACAAACGGGCCGTCCTGGGCCGGCCCACGGCCCGTTGTGAGTCGGCCCGAGGCCCGTTGTGGGTCGGCCCACGGCCCGTCCAGTGAGCAACGGCGAGCCTCTCGACTTTACCCGCCAATAACTTCGAATTTCTCTCTCCTCTCTCGCTCTCTCTCGTTCGTCCGCCATGGAGACGGAGGAAGAAGAGATCACGGAAGAGCAGCGACTGCGAGCCGAAGCGAACCGATTAGCCGCCCTAGCGAAGCGGAAGACGGCCGCGGCCTCCTCCGTCAACCCGCCGCAGCAGTACCCGCACGGCCGCTGGGCGCTCTTCAAGTGCCGGAAGCTGGACCCCACCGCCGCCGCCGCGCGGCCGGCGAAGCCGTTCGGTAACGCGGCTGGGGCGAGGGCGCCGTCGGACGCGGCCGTCGCCGAGAAGTTCGCGGTCCGGCTCGAGATATGCTCGCCGGATTCGTTCTCGGCGACCCCGCTGCCGCTGCTAGGGTTTGCTTATCCGGGGGAGGAGGAGTCCATGCGGAGATTGGTGGATTGCTTAGCTGGTGTAAGTTCCCTTGTTGTAATTGGTGGGAGATGGGAATGGAACTGATTCTCCGGTGCATTCGTCGTTCTGGGTCTTTGTTAGAAATGGATAAGATGATTTCATGCTTCTTCCGTTTTTGAGATGTAGATCGTCGAAGTGGGTGAAATTGTTCGGTGAGGCGGTTGAATAATTGGAAGCGAATAATCGAGATGTCATTGTGTGATGGCACATGTTGAAATATGAACAAGTGTGTCTGAGAATTGTTTTACAAGTGTGATCTAGAGGAGCTGTTGGTTATTTGGCTTTGTAAAGAGTCAACTAAATTTTAGTTTGCAAGTCGCAGTTATTTATATTTTACCGCATGGAGGGATGGGTTTTCCATTTAAGACAATCTATAAAATGTTGCATGATTTCATTTCTTTGGATACTTACTAAACAGTAAAACAGCTTTCCATGTCTGATAGATGTATGTTTGAAGTTAGCTTTTAGAATGGATGATCTTGCATGAGGAAAACTTAGTATTCATTGAAACTGTGTGGTCTGTATCTTCCTAATTGGGCATTGGTGTAGGTGATGCCATCACACTATACCCAAAACCTTGCTGGTGGAAAAGCTTGTGTGTATAAGCTGAGGGATTATGATGCAGTGATAAGATGTTTAAAGAGCTTCAAGAGTGTAGTATACGAGGAGATTCCTTGGGGAACATTTAATGTCATTGAGAAACTTTCACATTCTTTCATCATGGGGCAATGGATACCTTGCAGACCTGAGCATTTTCCTGATGATAAGGTTGATGAATTATTTGGGAAGTTACCCAGGAAAATCTTGGATACACTTTTGCCATTTCAAGTTGATGGAGTAAAATTTGGTTTACGAAGGGGTGGACGTTGTCTTATAGCAGATGAAATGGGTCTTGGGAAAACACTTCAGGTAATTTGCTTTAGCTCAATTGCTTTGCTATCATTTCATAACTCTCCCATATCAATCTGGAAATTAGAAAAGGTGTGGTTGGTGTTGGCCTGTGGCCACCCTTTAGATTGGAAGGAAAACAATTGAAAAAAACACAATGAATTGAATAAGGTGTCTCATATAAGTCAATCGGTCCAATTGCCCACCTCTTACAATGTTTATCTTTCCTTGTTCACAGGCCATTGCTATTGCAAGCTGTTTCATGAATGAAGGTTCTATTCTTATAGTTTGCCCTGCTATTTTACGCTTTTCTTGGGCAGAAGAACTTGAGCGGTGGTTTCCTTGTTTGCCCACCGATATCCATCTTGGTAACGTAATTTTCAATCCCTTCACATATGGAGCTCTCTTTACAATTTGGTTTAAATGCTTTGCTCATCCCTTTGGTTGAGATTTTACTTAAAATGGTGTATGAGATTTCTTGAATTTTGGTCAGAGATCACCCCTCTTTTGGTTGTTTGGGATGAAATTCATAGATGATGGGTCTTCCTTTGTAATTGTGTGGAAGAGAGAAGTTGAAAAGGAAAAGAGAGAAACGGTTTCAAATTGTTAATGTATTGAAGTATTAAACCATGCCTTTATCTAATAGCTTAAGCTTTTAGAACAATTGGCTATGGTTCCACAAAATTTCACATGGTATTAGAGTGGACAGTCCTGAGTTCAAATTTGTCTAGGCTCCCATCTTCTCTATTGTATATTTCCACGCTTTAATCTTGGGCCAAAGTCTAACTTACATGTGAGGGTGAGTATTAAAGTATTTAAATATTAAAACACGCCCTTATCTAATAGCTTAAGTCTTTAGAGCAGTTAGCTGCATTCCCGCAAAATTTTACATGAAGAAAGAAAGTCCACTTGTGCAGCTGTTGTATTACATGCTTCTTTGAAACTGTGGACTGCTACTTTCTGGACTTAAAATATGTTTATCAAGATGGCAGACTGGAATTTATGGATTTGAGGAGATATGTGACTTTTCTCTTATCTCTTTGGACTCTATGCACCATAGAATATACTGAAGCACTAATGATAAATATGAACTTACTATCATTTCAGTGTTTGGTCACCAGAATAATCCTTCACACTTGCAAAAATGGCCAAAGATTGTAGTTATTTCTTACAAGATGCTTCATCACTTGCGAAGGAGTATGCTTGATCAGGAATGGTCTCTTTTGATAGTTGATGAGTCTCACCATATAAGAGCTTCAAAGAAATCTGCAGAACCTGAGGAGGTATGGAGTTATATTAGCTGGTAAAAATGGTGCATCTTTTGTCTGTCAGATTGATGTTCTTTAAATTTTGGATCAACTCAAGAATGTGTGATGATTCTTTCTAATTCATTTCTTTAATTTTGTTATGGTACTTCTTTTTTTGTATGCCTTATCGCTTCTCATCTGTGTTTTTTGGGAAGTATGGAATCGATCCTCTCTGATCAGGTGCATTTTGTTTGAGCTCAATAATTTTCTGACTGATGCTGATGTATCTAATCCACTAATAGTCATAGTTCCAGATGTTTTTCAGTTGGTGGTGCTATTATCACTATTTGAAATTAAGTTTGGATAAGGTCACAAATTGAGTATCAAACCAGGTAACTGGCATAAGAATGCATTGCAATAGTTGTGACATTTTGTTTTTCTGATTTCTGATTTCTGATCTTTAGCTGTAAGCCAATATTTGCTTCTTCTAATAATCATTAATTTGACGATTTATAAGAAAAACTGATATAATGATCATTGCATTACTAAGAATATCATGAATCTTGAGATAATGTTAAAAGGTACTGATGAGGAGAAATTAGAAGACGCGATAACATTCACTTATTCCATCGTTGACGCCAGTCATTCTTTCAAACGAAATTTATCTATTGCTGCATAAAATTTTTACCACGAACAATAGCTTTTTGCTGTTTCGGTCTGCTTGTGATCTGCCACTATCTTTCCTCCTACTTCCCTTACCTTGTTTGTGGAGAGTGCTTACCATGACTCATTATCTGTCCTTATTTATTAACAGATAAGAGCAGTTCTTGATGTGGCAGCAAAGGTCAGACGTATCATTCTACTGTCAGGAACCCCTTCTTTGTCTAGGTTGTTGCCCTTTGAAACAGATGACACTATTGCCTTTAAAATTTGTTGTTTCTTTTTACCCTATCCGCGCCCTTTTTCTGCTGCTTTGTTCTACTTTGGCTATCTGATACCTTATTGTGGATGCATTTTAGGTGATTGTAGGCCATATGACATTTTCCATCAGATAAACATGCTCTGGTAATTGCTTTTATATGGTTCTATTTTCACTGGATTATTTTACTTCTCATCGAGAATCTAAAGTTCTTATTCTGCTCTCTAGGCCTGGTTTATTGGGAAAAGACAAGTTTGACTTTGCAAAAACTTACTGTGACGTGAAATTTGACCAAGGTTATCAAGGAAAGGTTTTTAAGGTAATTGTGGCACTCTCCAAGGTAGCACTCTCCAACAAGCTACATTTTAAATGACGTGTGAGCAATTTTGTACTTTCATATAGTTAAGTCATTATAGAAAAGTGAAATTTTTTTTCTAGTGCATCAGGCTGAATATATGAGTGGTTTCTGCTTCTTGGCAGATCTGCCAACCATTAACTCATTCCCTTTGGGAAGACATTCATATGGCTAAGAGGGCCTGACATAGTGCATGTCATAGCTTTAACTGGAGAAGACCCTGTAATAACTTGTTGCTTGTACAATATCAGCTTCTTGAACTGAAAAATTGATTTGTCTGATGGGGAATTTTGTATCAGGACTACTCAAAGGGCATTCGATTGGAGGAGCTGAACATTTTGCTCAAACAAACAGTTATGGTGCGACCTTGCTTCTGAAATTGTAACATGATCTCATCATTTTATTGCTGTATGTGATGGGCTCTCATATTAGCTGTTGGAAAACAATCCGGTGGTGATATGTATAACATTCAAATGTTGATTGAATTGCAAAAAATGCAGATGATTTCCTGATAATGCTGTATCTATCACAACAAAGGTCTCTTGGATATATTTTATGTCTCATTTAAAGTTTAAGATTTGCTGATAACCAGAACTTCCTTTTAGTGAGTAGCTTTCTTTGTTTTTAGATCTTTTATGCACTCTCTGTGTAGTATGAGTAACAGTAACTTGTTCTTATTTGCTTAACTTTGGTTTACAAGAAAATGACAAGTAAGTTTTGGAACCATCTAAAGATGATTAAAACAATTGTTTGCATGGCAAGACGACGACGGTAAGATTCTCTGTTGAATATCTGGGTGAAGTTCAATTGATTGCTGTCTTAATACTAAGTCCATGGTGGTTGTACTTGTATTTTTTTAGCAAGAGTGTACTAGGCCAATTAATTTACTCTGCCATCCAACTGCTCAAACAGTTGCTTTCCTGAAGGGTGTTTTTTCAATTTATTGTTTCAGATAAGACGCCTGAAGGAGCATGTCCTGGCGCACTTACCTCCCAAACGTCGGCAAATATTGAGAATTTTATTGAAAAAATCAGATATTATTTCTGCAAAGGCTGCTGTCAGAGTAGTTGACGGAGATGCACTTGATGACATTACTTTTGACCATACAGATCAGTCTGATGGTAACTACCACGACTTTGCATAAGCTTCCTTTCACTCTTCTACTGTCATTCCAAAACGTATTGCCATAACTTTCTAAAAGGAAGAAACTTTCAGTGTTGCATTTTGTGGTGTTGTTTCTAGCCAAGTAGTGAACTATGACAATCTCATGCTCATTATCAGCAAATAATTGGATTATAATTCTGCAAGCAAATGGTGAATATACTCCATCATTCCTCAAGTTTTTGCAGAACTTGGTGCACATTCCCTCTGTGTTATGAAATTGCTCCGCATCCCTGTAAATTATTTTTGATCCACGAAGTTAACAAATTACAATGGCACTGTGTGCATATGTAAAATTTAAATAGACTGAAAGATGAATTGGAAGGCATCAATCTGCATACATATCCAATAGATTTTGATGAGGGGTGTCAGAGTAATTTCTAGGTGACAGGGGGTGTCCTTTCAAAATTTTACCAAAACATGGGGGTGTCAGAAAAAACTTGTACTTTTATCTTGTCAACAGGTAGCTGGTACCTTGGTAGAGTCGTGTCAAGTTTTGGGACCAAGACCATTTCACGCACAAAACTTAATGTTTATTAATGTGGACTCACGGAGAGTACAACTGAATTTTCTTTACTTTGTTTCTATTTCTGCCAGATTCCAATGGTCGTGACAGATTGCGCAATCTATCGTTCCAAGAAGTTGGCATTGCCAAGCTCTCAGGATTCCGTGAGTGGCTTTCTCTTCATCCACTCATTGCAGCATCTGATGAGGTGGTGGACTCACCAAATTGCCAAAAGATGATAGTTTTCGCCCACCATCATAGAGTTCTTGATGGAGTGCAGGTAGACCTTTGAGAGAGAGCATCTCTTGCAAGAATAATTTATACAGATATAGTTGATAAGTTTCTGTTGAATTCCACCAAGTATTTACTTGTATAAATGAATCTGCAATATTATGGCTGAATGATTTGACTGCCTATCTTTTTTTTATACCAAAATTGGTGTTAATGAGTAATTGATGTTCTATTGGAAACAGAACCTTTTGTTGCCGTTTTAAGCTAGTTAAATGTAGAATCTGAAACAAGATAAATTGAGCTAGTGAATTGCTTAAGTAGCTGTCAAGCTTCAATGAGAGAGAGATTGCTTGGTCTCCGTGATTCTTGGCACTGGGTATGTATTTGTGGAAAGTTGCCGCCTTTTTTTTTTGAAAGATCATAGTCATTTGAAGAGCTTTAGGAACTTGATGTAATCTATAAAGAACAGGAACTTCGAGTTAATTGTTTGTATTTGATGCAGAATCCATTAGTGGTGTGTTTTTGGACCGGTTGGACAGGCAGAAGTTTAAACGGAAGGCGAAACAGTGATGCGACTAGAACCTGCGAACCCAGTTGACGACATCGAATCGGGCTCAAATTCGGTCGTTTGAAGCGAAACGGCGTTTTGAACAAAACTCACCGTCTTTGGCTGTGACTAACGATGGATTTTAGCAATTCGGGATCGTTTACATGGGTTTTTCTATTAGTTTAATTTTTTTTATGGGTTTTAATTTTAAGGGCAGTTTTGTAATTTTGATATTTTATGATTTATAGTCCTAGTAGGGTTTGGTTTAGGGATATATAAGCTTGTTTTATGGTTCTTTTTGAAGAACAGAACATTATCATCAATATTGAATTTCGAGATTTTTCTCTCTAAATAAGGTTTTACTTGAATTACTCGCTAAACGCTGCGTCAGGTGGTATCAGAGCCTATGGCGACTGGCGGTGGTCTTCGTGACGATGATCAGGAGACTGGAGCCCCAATCATTGGGGACGACGCGCTGCAACCTTTGGAGCAGCGTTTAATGGAACGCTTGGATCAACGAATCGATCAAAGTCTTCGTCGTTTCGAAGAACGAGTTAACGGATCGGTTCACATCAACGCCAAGACCTTCGAACCGATCCGTTAACTCGTCAAATCGTTCTTCGAAACGACGAAGACTTTGATCGATTCGTTGATCCAAGCGTTCCATTAAACGCTGCTCCAAAGGTTGCAGCGCGTCGTCCCCAATGATTGGGGCTCCAGTCTCCTGATCATCGTCACGAAGACCACCGCCAGTCGCCATAGGCTCTGATACCACCTGACGTAGCGTTTAGCGAGTAATTCAAGTAAAACCTTACTTAGAGAGAAAAATCTCGAAATTCAATATTGATGATAATGTTTTGTTCTTAAAAAAGAACCATAAAACAAGCTTATATATCCCTAAACCAAACCCTACTAGGACTATAAATCATAAAATATCAAAATTACAAAACTGTCCTTAAAATTAAAACCCATAAAAAACAATAGAAAAACCCTTGTAAACGATCCCGAATCGCTAAAATCCATCGTTAGTCACGGCCAAAGGCGGTGAGTTTTGTTCAGAACGCCGTTTTGCTTCAAATGACCGAATTTGAGCCCGATTCGATGTCGTCAACTGGGTTCGCAGGTTCTAGTTGCATCACCGTTTCACCTTCCGTTTGGACTTCTGCCTGTCCAACCGGTCCAGAAACGCACCACTAATGGATTCTGCATCAGTATTGGCCTGAATACAATGTGACCAATGTAATATTGAGGTTTCTCATTCCTCAAACTGTTTTATGAAACAAAGTGAAAGATGTATTAGTCAAATTTTCTTTTGATGTGCTATGCAAAACCAATGAGTTGTTTTATCATATCTGTTGATGAAATATGTTAATTATGAATCGTATCTTGCACCATCCTTTAGCAGGTTTCATTAGTTTGTAAATCTGTTAAGCGGAAACACTTTATGAATCTTTTAGAGATATCACCCCTATAAGTACAGGTCTTCTATGATTAACTTAAAACATACCTGAGATAGATTATTGTTTCTTCACAATTAGAGTTACTATCATTTTGATTTCTCGTTTAATTATTTTTCTTCGGTTGTTACAACTTAGCATGCACCATTTAATATATTTCGTCAAAGTGACCTCTACTACTTGCTTGTGGGGAATTCTGATGCTAAAATTAAGTTTCGTGATGTTTGTGATGTGGATTGCATCTAGTTTGAACTGCTATTTATGTCAGATTATTCTATCTTGTTGTAGAGTTTTCTTCTCTTTATTTAGTTATTTTTGCTTTGTTGTAGAATTAAGTCCTACTTAACTGTTTGGTTTCTTGGCCTCATATGAAAGCTTTTTATGTTGGAATGACTCAGGAGATCATATGTGAGAAAGGGATTGGTTTTATTCGCATAGATGGAAATACTCTTCCCAGAGATCGACAGTCTGCAGTAATGTCGTTCCAATCATCAAATCAGGTGTGTATCTTGGATGCCTTTTCCTAATTTTCTTTGGTTGCATGGATGTGTTGTTTTTAGTGTCAATGATTATTTTCAGACTAAATGCGTTAAGTATGGAATTTGCATGTAGAGTCTTGACGTAATATATCCTCTTTTGTTCTTTCTAAGTTAGTGGATATTTCTTCTTCTTGTTGATCTGGAATCCTTTCAGCAAGGGAGAATTTAGAAGTTATTTACACTGATGACTAGGTGCTTTTCTCATTAGGTTAAGATTGCGATAATTGGTATTACTGCCGGAGGTGTTGGACTTAATCTTTCGTCAGCAAAGACTGTGGTGTTCTTGGAGCTGCCTCCATCTCCATCATGGATGCTTCAGGTGGAGTTACATAAACTTTCTCGAAAATAATATTGAAATAGTTATTGTATTTACGTATGGATTTTATTTGATCAAGATTGCAATAATTGGTTTAGTGCATTCCCTGCAAGCTTAAGTTCCTTGAGCTCATGGTCTTATCCTCATCATTCCCCTGCTTAGTAGTTGTACTCTTATGCGAAGAAGAAAAAAAAAACTGTTAATTGGTCCTACATTGACTTGCTATTTCGCTGAAAGTTTGTTCACTTGTTCTTTTCTATCTTGTAAAGGCATGATCCAGGCCTTTGTTTCATAGTTTAAAGATGTATTAATAGCTAACTTAATGCAGACACAAAAAGGATGAGAAGTGTTGCTTCCACCCATCTGAAAACTTAAATGCTGACAGATCTCGACTTTTTTCGTAACATGAACCAATAATATCAGTAGGACAGAGCCCCTGAACCAGTAATATCTGTAATGTCATCGTCATAGTTGCCACTGGATTTTAAGGATCTTATGGACTTATATCTTTTTTGCTGTTTCATCGGTTATTGTCTGAATTTTGGATGAATGAATTTCTTCTATCGTGTCTTAAGGCAGAAGATAGAGCTCACAGGCAGGGACAAACAAATGCGGTCAATATATATTATTTTTGTGCAAAGGTGCGTCTTTAGTTGTGACATGTTACTTGAAATTGTTAATTGTTATCCCCAATTTTGCGGTGCTTATTTTGATATTGACTATGGCAGGATACTACGGATGATTTGCATTGGCAATATTTAAGGAAGAGCTTGTACCGTGTTTCCTCTACTACAAATGGAAAGCACGATGCAATACTAGATATTGCGGTATCTTTCTATTGCTTCTATATTTGAATTGCCACTGGCTTTTTTCTATTTCTTTCGATTTCTGCAGGATTTATAATGTCTTTTTGAAATCTAAGACGTGCTAGATTAAGTTGGCCAAGTGACTCATAAATCTAAAAAATGTATGTGGGATGATTAGAGCGGGCTTTACATTTACTCTGTCCAAACATCGAGAATCTCTAGCTCTTTGGGTTCAACAAAGGAATTTATTCTTCTGGTAAGATGGGTTTCACATAGAGATAATTTTATAGAATATAACATGTCAGAGAAATGGTTCTTTTACTAACAGTCACTTTGAAATCTCATCATGTGGTTTACCGGAATTCTCTCACTAGTGTACTTTGACAATCCGTTCTTTACAAAAAGATGACAACATGGCAATTGACGATGCAAGTTTTTGTGAATGTCTGGTGTAATTGTTCCACTATACAAGTTGATTGAAGTTAATTTTATTGATTAAAATGATGCTTCAGACAATCAAGCATTACCACGTCCTTGAATTGTTGCTTAAATCGTTAGTTAATGGACCTTCCCCAGTGAGATGAGCCTAGGTTTTATTCCTATAGTGGAGTTCAATACATTGTCAATAAAACCCCTGTTCCTTCTGTCCCTTTACACCGATAAACATGCGTGAATGTGCATGTACTTGCTTGCATGTGTGTGGTGCTTCTTTGTCCGTGTTACTCATGTCGTTTTGTTTTTATTGCGGTCACTGTACACGGTCATTTGTCCATGCATTTTGAAAACTATGCCTTTGTCTTGTCTGACATCTCTTATTTCCAGACCATGCTATTTCATGGTTGCTTGCTTTTTTTATTATAATAATCCTTTTTTCCTTTTATTGGTGTCAGGTTGACAATGTTTCATGTTTTGGAATTTCTGATGAAACTGATAGAAGTTATATTCAGATGTTGGAGGAAATCGCATGTAGTCAACTGTCACATAAGGTAAATAAGTCTTGATTCTCTAGCTTAGATTGAAATTGCAAGGATTCTAAAGGTTACAGAAGTTGATTTAATTAAAAAATGGCTGTTAAGGACATATTGACTCCTGTGACCAGCTCAAGCAGGATAGGATGAGGACAAATTTGGATGCCGCCCCCCCAATCAAAAAACGACACTCCCGAAAAGAGAAAAAAGCTTGTAATTTTGAGAATGTAGAGAGGATGTTTATGGAGATTTTAAAAATATGCAGGAAGATTCTATAAAAACCAAAGAAGATGATAGTGAGCCTGCTCCTGCTGATCCAGTTAAAGCTGATGAGAATTGTTCCAACATAAAGAAATCTCCTCTGGTTGAGGTAAATCATTCTGTTGGCAACAGAACTCTTTTTGTGTCTTAAGTCTTCTGATCTGTGTACTACAAAGCGGACTCGTAAGAGAGCCAGTTAGGGGAGCTTTTTGCGGTTTGACTGATTGAATCGCTAGGTAGAATTATATATGATACTCATTGTCAGAAAAAAAAAAAACAAATGTTTAAGACATGGAGCAGGAATCATTTCTTATTGATCTGTGATTTTTTGGAAGCGTTGATTGATATATGTTTTTTCGTTATATAAAATTTAGTACTAAAGACAGTGCTTGCTTGAATGTTAAGTGGCTTTCCCAGAGATTAAGAGGTCCTACTCAGCTCTAATGTGAGCGTCTTTCCAATTTGTTTGGATAAACCAGTTTGAACTGGTTCTGATCTGATTAAATGGTCCTTCTTTGACCTGTTGAACTAGGTAAACATGGGTTCAATTCAGTTTTAACCATAGAAGGTTTGGTTGTCAAACAGGACCAGACAATTGACTCATTTCCCAGTCCGAATTGTGTGACTGGTGGGTCTGGTCCGGTTATAAATACACTGCCCTGGGTGAACCATTTTATAACCTGCATTTGTTTATGATACATCACATGCCTCTGCATAGAAAAGCAAATTGTGATGCGTGGATGGTTGATTAAGATTTTTGGGCTATCATAATTATGCAATGACATATTTTTGAAAATGTATTACAGGAAAGTGCTTTGACAACCAGGGTTGGCAATGGCGAGTGTGCTGATGTAGTTGAAGCTGATCAGAACATAGTAGATTTCATAAACTCTTTGCGGTTTGAGGTAATTTATCAGTTTTTCATTATAGAATTCATTTCTTCCCTGATGATAGTTGTGACTGCTTTATCACATTTTGCTTGCTCTCTTTGATCTTGTGCCTGTGAAACAAACTGCTAGACATTCCATCTGGGAATAGAGCCAACATTCTAAAGTTAGCTGTTTCGAATTACTATTAAAATTGTACTTTATTGGGTATGGCTGCCATATAAAAAGTGCCTGTTTACGACCATCTCAAGTAACCGGATTATGAATAGAAGTTTGTATTTGCATGAGCATCAAGCGTACTTAGCCAGTTCCTCGTTGGATCTTGATTAATCTGCGGATCATTTTTATTGTGCCGGTGACCACTCCTATTATTCAATGTTTAAAATTAGTTTAGTGCCTTGTCCTGAGATTGAGATGGACTCTGCCTGCTTTTACATATACATACTGTATCTCACAGGTATGAGAGATTTCATTAGTCGACTTTGTAATGTGGCAAAAGAGTTGGTCTTCTGAAAGAAGAGAAAATGATGTAATAACTAAGTAGAATACTTTGAATTTCCATGTTCAAAGTGTCCTCAATATGTTATCTGGTTTCTTCCTTTAACATGTATTTTTGGATGAAAGCTAATTCTCATTTTCGTGTGCACTTCATCAACCAAAATCATTGATTTTCATGGAGATTGGTAATAGGTCTCTTCATATGTAAAGCTTGAAGGATATTTTTTATGTTGATATCCATCATGTTCATTGCTTGTAGTTGTAACTTATTTGGTTTACTGTATAATTCAAATGGTGACTTTTATGTGTTATTCTACTGGTTTATATTGTGAAATTTAAGATTTAAGCAGAACTATGGAAATCACATCCTTTTCAAGTTTTGGCCTTGTGCTTAGCTAGGAAGCACGGACACTCTCCGGGGGCCTCCGTGTTGGTGTCGGACACGTTTCGGACGTGTTGGACACCGACACTCGTTCGACACTCTTTTTTTAATTAATTATTTATTTGTGGATTTGAATCAAATTAATTTGATTGAAATAATCATAAAAATGATAATTTATCATGTATATATAAAAATATACATTTCATATACAACGTGTTCCAATGTGTCGGAATTCTTTATTTTTTGAGAAATGATGTGTTGGCGTGTCATATCGTGTCATGTCGTGTGTCGGTGTCGGTGTCGGCGCTACTTAGGTGCTTAGTGCTGAGCAGAGATCTCCGTAACTGTTAATCACTATTATTGCGGGCTTACATAAGTTCCAATTACTCCAAATCATCCTCTGATTTTACAATCGTTTCTTCAGACTTCCCCTTTTCAGTAGGAATAGTATATGTTGAATATAAGGATACCTTACCATGTCAATGGCTTTCAAAGTTTATTTTGTTTTGGGTTGGGTAACCAATATGGTAAAGCATTGAATGCAATATAAATTGAAAGTTAGCTAGGATGCTTTCTAAAGATTCCTAGACATGTGATTGAGCTTTTAGGTTTCCTATGTCCTACTCCTGCTCATGGATTTTGCCTTTACACTAGTAGTAGAGGCTCTTGATCTGGGAAAATCAAGTGTTTTTGGCTCCTTCAGTCTGAACTACATTTGGGGCTTTAATAGCCATATTCTGTGACCCTGCTCTGTAATTTACCAAACTGGCGAGACTTAAATGTTCTCTTTCACCTATGAAGATTGTGAAACACATTTCTTTTTGAGTTTTCTTTTGATTCCATAAGAACTACTCTAGGTAAAAGAGATTTATTTGTGGTCAAGGTGCATATATATTTTGCTTTAATCGAGGTTCTGGAAATCTTCTTTCTCTACTGAAACATGGTTAGCTTTACGAGTTTTGATAACTAGTAAACTGAATGTATGTATCCAGCCAAAGCATAATTTCTATATTCTATTTCTGAAAGTCTGTTTGACTAATTGTTTTGTAGGTTAGCCAATATACTGAAAGGATCCATTTATATACTTGCACCCCGGGAACAGATTCTAGACCAAGACCCCTTTTCCATAGTTTCCGGCCGGAGGATGTTAATTTGCAAAGTGCTCTCTCCCTTGATAATAAGTTTCTTGAGAATAGCAGGGCTTATGTCCACGGTCTCCTAACGTTCATAAATCAGTGGAATACACTAAGACCTATTCAACGTAGGAAGTTACTAGGGAAGCCTTTGCAACTTCCTTTAGCTGTTGAGCTCTGCTACTTGAAAGAGGGGACCAACCATGACGGTTTGGTATGTCCATATAATGTAATCAAAATGAGTATACTGTTAATCAATCATAACGACCAGGTGACCTCTTCTGTTTCCTCATAATTCAATGATTCCATGCCAGGGATTGTTGAAGGGTAAAAGCAGAAGACGAACTACACCGTTGTTTGAAATAAGCCATCCATTGCCAGAAAATGCTGTGTGGAAGAAGGTTCATCTTGTTGGCAGTTATTGCAAGAAGGATAAAGAGTACACTCAGGGGTGGACCATGATGGATGAACCACTCTGTAAACTTTGTCAGTCACCTTGCGTGTAAGTCCTATTGTGCTTTCCTTGTCGCTACATCTACGACTAGCTAATTGTGGAATCTTCTTTCAGGGGAGAAAATGCAAAGAGACCTGAGTATTTTGAGGATCTCTTCTGCAATTCTGGCTGTTATGAAGAATATCGCATAAGAACCAGTGCTCGTGTTCTTCGTCAGGTCTTAACCTATATACTTGTATATACTTGAGAAACATTCTTGTTTTATTTATTCACCTGCATCTGAACTATTAGCTCTGCTTGGAAAACCCTGTACTTTTAACTACATTGCCTTTTCTTAGCCTCCATTTTTCCACCTTCTTAGTTGACAAATTATGATTTTCAGGAACTTTTTCAAATAGAACATGGTGTATGCACGAACTGCCAATTAGATTGCCATCAGCTTGTGAAATGCTTGAAACCATTATCAGTGGAGAGCCGGTGGGACTATGTAAAGAGAAAAGCACCAAATTTGGCTACAAGGAAAAAGTTGTGAGTACCTTTAAGGAATAATGTCTCTAGTTGATGCGATCGAAGTGCTTAAGGTCATGCAGAGACATTTTCCCTTTTGTTTTGCATGCTTGAAGTCGATTATTTTGTTCTAGAGAAAACGCTTTTATGTGAGATTAAATGTCTATTTCCATATGTCTGGCAGGGTTGACAAATTGGTCAATGATCCCACTGAGGGTAATGCATGGCATGCGGATCACATTGTTCCAGTCTTTCGTGGCGGAGGTAAAAGTATTATCTGATTAAGTACTTCATATACAAACTGGCTGTTGATTTAATTTGTCACGTGATTGATAGGACCAAATTTTGTATTTCGATTTTGCACTTCTTTGTCAAGATATCAGTTCTTGTAACACAGCATAGCTTTTCTAGGGCTCAGTATCGCTGGCGTGGCTGTGGTTGAAGAGCTCTTTGATCATTTCCTTTATCAAATTAGTTAATAGTTCTCTAATCTATTTGCAGGATTGGTATTATCACTATGATTAGTGATTAGTAAGCTAGATTTAAAGGATAAGTATGTGTTTTACATTAAAATGAATGATAAAAAAAAGGTTAACTAATAAGGAACAAAGAAATGCACTAAAGGGGTGCAAGATGGAGATTGACCAGCGATGTCAATCTTGTGTCCGAGTTGGATTGGCGACGTTGCAGGCCAATGTTGACCAGCTAATGTCCATCACTGGTCGATGACTTTGACTGATGACAACAGGAGTCCACTGCACTCACATCTGTAATAATTCAATAGTGTGTTCCTTTGAGTTTTTTTTTTTTTTTTGGTTTGATACTCAAAATGAAACATGGCTTTTATTCTAGGAAATAAAATTTGGGAGCAGAATAGTTTTATGTAATTTACAAGTACAATTATATGTGCAGGTGAATGCAGGCTAGAGAATATGAGGACACTTTGTGTAGCCTGCCATTTTGATGTTACTGCGGCCCAACGCGCTGAACGACGTGCTTCAAGAGTCGAAGGTAAAAAGCGACTCAAAGAAATCTTGAGTGGCCTAAAGAATGACTGCAACATGGGACAGACTGAGGCTAAGTCAAAGGTAAAACTATTCTAGTTTCACTAATATTTTCTTTACCATCAAGTTAGCTGCAAATTTTGTCTCCATTTCTCTATGTTGGTATGTGATGAGGCTTTTCCTAGTCCCCGATTGAATAGTTGTTTATGTCAAGTCAGACTTTTCCTTTCTGTTCAATGCACTGACTCGAAACTCTACTCGACTTCAGTGATGGAGAAAATAACGACAGGCAAGAAAATCTTGTTATTTTAACCAATTGGAGTGGAGAATTTAACTAAGTTCCAAGAAGTACTCCACTTTTATTTGTGCCTGTGTTACATTATGAAGTGATAGTTGGAGTATGTATACCCTTTGCTTGTTAGTTACATTTTTCATGTTTTGAGAACGTGATTTTCAATTTAGAAAACTTGATGTAATTTTATCTGAAATTTTTCCTTTGCTTGGTTGATAATGAGGTTACGACAGTTGTTGGCTACCGAAACATAGCAAAGCTGTGTTAGCATCCATGAGATAGTTTTGCTCAATAATATATCTGGACAAAGTCGTTTTTGATTTTTTATTTTGAAATTGATTGTCCTCGGTCCACTTTTTAAGTTGCATTTAACATGCTTTAAAAATGTTAAAGTGTAAGTTTTGCATGTTTCAATTACTGAACCATTACACGGTCATTTTCGATATCTAGAATAAGTAAACTAATGATTTATAGCTAGTTTATCAGTCAGCAGGTCATTCATTAACAAGATCGATAGATTATATTTATTCTGTTGACTATGCAATGGTCTTTTGTCAAGTAGACATATCATATTATCTTGCATCGTAAGAAAGTGGAGAGATGAAACTAATAGTCCCTAAACTTTAGACCAATGTGCAATGTATCTTTGGAACTTAATTTGCTCTCCTTGAATTGTTCTCAAATGTTTAGTGTAATCCCTAAACTTTCAGTTTTTCATAATTACACTATTGCCTTGATTTTTTAATAGCTATTCATTTCAATCCTTTTCCTAAATCAAGGAAAAAATATACCATCTTTTTATTACCTTTTTACCTTTTTGGTTCCCTACAAATATTATGATAGTTCCATTTAAGTAAATCTTAGATTATGATATCAATAATAGTGAAAGTAGAACCTTATTTAGAGTTGTATTGGGTTGATATTCCTGCTATTTTAATGTCTTAGTGTTTTCATAAGGATATTTAGAAATAATATTCATTTATCTATAGATATAGTTTCGTACTTATATTAAATCTTGTTCCTTATTTTTTAGTAAACACGAAACACAAAAGATTTAACATTTATCAAAATATTAGGAACAAGATTTTACATTATTGAAAATTTCATCAATCTAAAATATAGGAAACAAGGTTTAGATTAATATAAGTAAGAAAATTTATAGACAAATACATTCGGTTTTAGACATCTTTATGAAAACACTTATACTTAAAATAACAAGAACATCAACCGGATACAACTCTATATGAGTTTCTACTTTTACTATTATAAAGATCATATGCTAAACTTTGCTTAAATGGAACTATCGTCATATTTATAAAGACCATAAAGGTAATAAAAGGATATCATTTTTTTGTTGATTTAGGAAAATGATTGAAATGAGAAGATATTTTCAATTATAGGTAATAGTGTAATTATAAAAACTTGCGAATAGTATTGAAGGACAATTTAACATTGTTGGAAAGTTGATGACTAGATTAAAAATTGAAAGTTAAGCGACTACAATGAACATAAAAGGAAAGTTCAATGACCACATTGAACAGTTAAAAAGTCCAAGGATGACATTACGTATTGGGCAAAAAGTTTAGGATTTATTAGTGTCAATTTCCCTAAGAAAATATTTTTTTCTTATGTAATGGGCTAAAACCGCGCCATCTGTCTTAGTAGTTTTAGCTGCGAGTTGCTGCGGAGCATGCTACTGTGCTTATTTATAATGACCAGCGCTAATGGAATTCTTTTCAGAATCAGATGCATGAGGAGATCCGAGAAACTCCATCGGAAGATGAACTTTTAGTCAAGGTTCCTGGAAGTGCCTACTCCTCTGAAGGACAGTGAGATGTTGGGTCTCATGTGTTGATGGGTCATGGCCTTCAATGAAACTTCTCTCCCATACAAGAGGTGAGTTTAACCAAACATGCCACAAGATATACGGCGTTTCAATCGGCCATACTCTACAATGTTTTTTTTTGTTCCCATGAAATGAACGGGCAATATTTCTGGCAGATTTGCAGCACCATCTGTGTGATTCTTCGTCTTCTGATATCTCTTGATTTCCCTCCCTTGTTCTGTTAGTTGATCCGGCAGCAAAACTGCTGTTTGTGGACAATGTTCGTGGACAATGTTCACCTATCAACGAGGTTCAATGAAAAGTAGCGCATGAAAGTAGCTAAAACAGGGCAATACTATTGGCAAGGAGGATATGAATGATTGCCAAGTTTCGTGTCTTAATTTCTTTCATACATCGCCATGAAAACGTAAGGGATATCTGGTGGTAGTTTTGAGAATTTGGGGCATCTTTTCTTCTGTCAAGTGCCATATTTCTGGCAGAAAGTACAGTACATCCTTCAATGATCACTTCGAAGCGTAAACAGTATTTTAAAATTAAGGGCCAGGGCGAAGCATACTAGAGTGCCAGGCATGGCGGTACCGGGCCGCCCCATTTGCCACCCCAAGTTACCATGTTTGTTCTCTCTTTTGCCCAAGGAGTTCCAATCACGTAGATTAGATTTGATCGAAATTTCGTATTTACCAGTGACAGAAAAAAGACTAGTGCGAGCCATCGACAGAACCCTTGTATCTTCTCATGTTCGTTTCTTCCAAACCCTATCAGCGACCATGGTGACAATCGTCAAGTTCCCAATCGTTCTACCAAGTATGGAGGAGCGGGGCCAAAACCAAAAACAAAAGGCCGAAGGAGGTTCATTTAGAAAAGGAAGAATGACACAAATGGTTCCTAAACTTTGGTCTAATATGCATGCAATGTGATTGTTGGATTTTTAATTTGTATAATGTGTTTTTGAATTTTAACTTAATGTGAAATGTGGTTCATAAATTTTCAATTTGTTAAATCATTACCAGAATTTTTGGTATGTGCAATTTAATCCATGTTCGACTAAAGAAAAAAATTATTCCATGAGCTATTTTTTTTGGCATAATTCATAGACTGTGAAAATGTTTAAACTTGTTCATGATCTTGAATTAGTAGAAGGATAATATTGAATATTTTCATATAGTAAAGCGATTATATTGAACATATACAAAAAATTCAAGGACCATATCGAACAAATTCAAATTTAGTGACCGCATTGAACATTACACTAAAATTCAGGGATTATATTGAACAAATTAAAAATTTAAGAATCATATTTTTTACTCGGACAAAGTTGAAGAACTATTTGCATTATTATCTTTTCAAAAAACATCAAGTGTAAGAAACAGCTAAAGCTGGAACTTTAACTGTAACTTGCTTTCCAAGTTGCTCGACTTTTATCAAAAGTGTGAATAATAAGAGTTCCCGCTTAGCCAAAAGACAGTACGACAACAAATTCTTTGGTTCAGCTTTGGGAATGGGCTTTGAGCCTCGAAAGCCCTTCCCAAAATACTGGGGTGTTTGGTTCAACATTTGGCCTAGCATTTGGCCAATGCTAGCATTCCAAATGCTGAAAGCCCAAAGCTGGTTCGGACCAGCCTTGGGCTTTCAGCCTTTGCCAAATGCTACTGTTCATACATCACTGTTCATCTTCTTCGGCGAGGGAGGGCGACCGGCGCTTGGATCGCGCCGGCGAGAGGACGGCGAGGTCGCACGACCCAGGTGACGGCCGCCGGAGGTCGCGCGACCGCCCAAGCGCCGCCGGCTTGGGTCGTGCGACCTCAGGCGACGACCACCTGGGTCGCGTGACCCAGGCGACGGTAGCCTAAGGTCGTGCGACCGCCCAGGCGCCGCCGGCTTGGGTCGTGCGACCTCAGGCGACGACCACCTGGGTCGCGTGACCCAGGCGACGACCACCTGGGTCGCGTGACCCAGGCGACGGTAGCCTGAGGTCGCGCGACCCAAGCGGCCGTCGCCTGGGTCATGCGACCCCCGCCGAGGTCGCCTGGCCTCGGGTGACCGCCGGCGGCCGTAGGCCATTGCCAGTGGCCGGCTCCAGCGATGGGTAGGTTAGTTTTTTTTTTTAATAAATAAGATAATTCTCAAAGTCCATTTGCAAAAAAAATTCACCAAACTCTATATTTTGGCCAAAGTAGCTTTACAAAATATTTTTACCAAACACCATTTGCATTTTCCCAATGGGCTTTCATCCAAAGGTATTTGCATTCCCCCAAGTAGCATTTTCAAAGTTGAATCAAACAGGCCCTTAGTCCTCTTACAGGTAAAAGCAACGAAAGATTTACCCACTTCTATATAATTAACCGCATTGGAAAAGTACGACGCCGCAGAACAATTGCCATCTAGTTGATAGCACCAGCTTATACAGATAAGCATGCATAGTTGCAAAAACAGCTGAGCTGCCGAAAGTTAGCACCTTATCATCCTGTTCAACATTTCTCCCCCAACATTTCCTTCCACCAACTGCCCATAGCAAAACACAGATGTTTTTGCCAAACACCGCCCTTTTCTGAAGCTTCATTTTTATGGTTAAGATAACCAGACAAATATAATGCATACCAGATGAACAAGACGGACAATTGGTTAGCTGCTGCTTCAGATTTGAAATGCTGGCTAGACCTTCATGTTTCAAAAGAACATGATCATGCCTCGCCCAGTTCATTAAAACCTGCTGCAAAGAATTTGTCAGCTCTATCAATGAAGCTGTCGGGGAATCTACTATGCAACATGGACGTAGTCCCAGTTATTGGTAAGTCATATTTAACAGCAGTTTCTTCACAAACTTTTACTGCCTTCTCTCTCTTCTTGCCTAGCTTGGCATTATTTCCGGCAGAGATACCCTTCATTAAAGAGTTTCTAGAGTTTCTGCCACTGCCACGGCTGGACCTTAGTTTATCTGCTTGAGGCTTTTTATTTTCATGACCAAGCTGAGTATTCTCGCAGGAACCATAAGGGGAATTGTCTAAAACTGGATGGGATCGACTTGAGGGTAAAGCATTTTTGCATGATTTCAGTAACGAACGTAGCATGTCAATACTGAGCTCTTGTTGAATAACACCCCTATTCTGCTCACACCCGTAACAAGCGGCAACCAGTGTACCAGCTAATACTGGCATCAGGTCCGGGTCACTGAAGAAGACAAAAGGAAGATCGCATACCTGCTTTTGTTCACTAAGTAGTCAGGTTCTGTACACATGACAGAAGAAAAAAGAAAAAGATGCTATGAGAGGTCTCCTTCTACTGACCTTGTGAAGAATGGTAGGACTATTTCCCCACCGCAGGACTGCTTGATTCTCAGTGTGGAAGAGAGCAAAGTGACCAAGAAGCAAGAGGGATTCAATTAGAAGAAGACCCACCTGAATATACAGTAAAGCATATGAGCATAAGAGGAGACCAGCTGAAAATGCTGCCACTAATCATTAAGGCTTTCAAATGATGATGGGAGTATAAAAGAAACCTTTAGTATTTAGCCCACCTAGCCAACCAACAGACACCAAATTCAAGGATGTAATGACATGTAACCTATTCAGCCAATCTATTTATGATCTCCAGCTTACAACGTGAGCAGGACTTTCAGTCTCTAATCTCTGCCGAAATTCGTGTAGCTAGACACATAACTGATCCAACATCCAACTCTTGTGAGTTTGTAATAAGATGTTCCAGTCACGATTGTGCAATAGGGACCATACCTG